ACGTTGGCGAACGTTAAAGCAAATTTAATGTATGGTATCCACAGTTAGACGTCAATTTATATTAATAAAAAAGTATCGTTCCAAATTTTCGTACGAATTCTTTCCGTCTAGCCCCCTTTCACAACGCGCGATAAGGAACTTCGTTCCAATAATTTTGTAAATAAGTGTAAATTTGACTACAACGGAGGTGTCGTAACATTTATAATATTAATAACTTTATTTACGCAATAGGAGGATACATAGTTAACATTTAGTTAAACTAGTCAAGGTGGCACATTATAACTTAAGTTTAAAAGTTAGTTAAGTTGAAGCGAATGTAGTATACATTAGAGGGTTCATAGATGTTAACTAGGTGTAAGACTCTGTATCTTAAGCTAGGGTGACCAGAGGCCCAACTACAAGTTTATTTCACATCTACTCGATCAGATGCGGATTTCGGCGCTACGATTGGCCCGCACTGAAATCTGCACCGATCCCAACGTCAAACGAGCTCGTTATCGAGAGCGAGTTGAAGTGAGTCGCTTCAAAAAAACTAAACTAAATAAATAAACTTGCAACCAATTTTATAGTTAAGGGAAGCGAGCATGTCTGTAAGTATGTGTCCGAATGCGAGTGCTACTGTGAGTGTGCGTATAAGTGTGTGTGTGTGTGTGTGTGTTTGCGATCTTGAGAGTGAGTGTAGGTGGGCGGGTGTATGGTGACAAGATAGGAATTGAAAAAAAAAATGAAAAAATATTTATTTAGAAACACAAAGAAAATAAATTACAGGAGTACTTAACAAGACATGAAATTGCAGATCTTATCAGATAAATATTAACGCGGTCCCCACACTAGGCAAGCCTGTATCGTATCTTATGGTTCACTTTATATTAACCGATGTGAGTAGAGATTCTGTTTTTGAGTAGTCCTATTGGAGAAGCCATGTTGTCACTCTGAATTTTAACTGGTAACTGTTTAGATTTGTAATGTTTAATTTTTTGTAGACTTGTTTATAAATGTGTGTAGTTCTGTGGCGATAGGAAAGCTAGTAAGTTTATTAGGATTTGAAGGGGAGACACTTGTGTGTCTCCTAATAATGAACTGGAGCACATAAAGTTGACGAACCGTAAGAAATTTACAATGGAGGTAAAGGTTGGTTGTAGGATAACGGATGACTGTTAAAAAAATATTTTTCAACAGTCTTTAGGAGGACGAATTCATTGCCAAGATTATGATTATTTTATTGTTGTCGCTATCCCGAGTACTATTTACTTCATCATTCAAATACCTTTAAGACTGGACTAAATTAAAATCTCTTTTTAAGGATTTTTTTTTCTCTTCAGACATAACGTTTATATATAAATGGAAATTATACGGGTAGACTAGGTTTCATCACACAAAATTGGACACAAAGTCTGAGCAGTCAACTTAACAACAATAATGAGGATTCAAAATAAGTAAATATAGCTCATTAGCTTCAGTAATTGGATAGGTGATTATAAAAATGAGCCCAGCTTCAGAATGCGGTGCTCAGTCAAGCGTTCTCGACAACTAGTGGAGCCGACGGATTTTTATTTTAGAAAGGGCGTTCGATTGAGTAGTCAATTTATTAATAGCTTTTTTATAAATGAAGCACTAGAACTATTCCTAGAGCAAATTAATAAAAACTTTTGTAAAAGTATAAAAAAAATAAAAAAATGTTTAGAGAGGATGTGTAAATAACTTTAGTACATCTATCTAAAATCATTTTTCCAACACGTATCAAACAAAAGACATTGGTCAGCTTTTAAATTGTAATCCTAAAGGACTATGACTGGATATGTAGAAGTAGGAAACAAAATATTTAGTCATTTGTTATTAAAAACGAAAAAGAAAATGTAAAACGCAAGGAAAATTCGACATTAATTAACCTAGTTATTAAAGAGAGAACCCTAGTTTAATTATTGTAAAGCGACAAGCGAATAACTTATGTATCAGGTAACAGTTATAAGAAAATGAAGTATGATACGGTTCATGTATCAACTATTTTTTAAATATTTAGATTACCACAGCCAGATTAAATTATAATCGGTTATGTGCTTATCCGTAATTACTAACAATAAATAATAGTTTAAAAAAAATTGTTGTAAAAATATTTTATTGACATACATTTTTAAAAGTAAAGTTATTGTATTATAAATATCTTGAAAACACCCCACGCTTTTTTTACGAAAAAATGATTTTTGTTTTTGAAGTTAAAGAAAATTATTTTAAGGCTTTTTTTAGTTTTTTTAAACTATAAATTTTATTTTTGCTTTTTTAGTCATTAGTGATGATTATATTCTCATTAAGACCTAAAAAGTAACAAGTAAGTCACATATGCTTTAGCACACGCCTCTTAGTACGAAGCAAAAGTCTACCGTATTTTTAGGTATGGAAAAAGCCGTTAATCCTGAAGATCCCGATCAGGATAATCGGCCAAATTTATCAAATTATTATATTGTCATAGGTTATTGTTAAGTGTATAAAGGTTCAATTTAATTTGACGTTTTGAAGTGGGGCTAAATCATGTTCGAAGATGCCGTTACATACATACCAAGCTAATAAAAGCTTTTTAAAAAAGATTTATTTTCCATTATTTTCAATTCATAGAGGAGATTCTTGCATGTATACCCTTCACACAAATATCATTTCCTTAACCACTCAATAGTGACAAAGATACTATGACTGAAATATCAGAATGTATTAAAGTAGAAAGCGGTTGCCAATCACGTTGCCTTACAGTGCGCTAAGCCAATCGTAGCTTCGAGGTGTGAAGCCGTACTTGTTATTCCATTGTATTTCCGTATTGTCTTTCCTTCACCTTCACTTAGATTAAGGTAACTATGAATTATTGATTTCAAGGGTGTTTATAATTATGAACTTCCCCGTTCCCTTTTTTCTTTCTAATCGGATTATTTAAATCCTTTGTCGGCATGTGTTTATAAATGTGCTCTGACAGGAGAAAATATCACTGTTTTACCTTAAGATACATATATAAATTCGTATCTATACGTAAATGCACCACAATTTTTTTTATTTTGAATACATGAAAAATTAAAAAATTAAGTATCTTCGAAAGTTTGGTATTGGTATGACAACTAAAACATTTGAACATTAAGTTAGTTATAAGGGTTTATTGCATGTAATATTCACCTTTCTTTCCCGGGGAAGTGCAGTTGCTTCTGTTAGAAGGAGATTTGGTTTCTGCCGCAGCCATCTTCTCTTTTTCGGAAGCCATTATGAAGCCCAGCAGACACTAGAGACGGTTTAATTTATAACACGAGCACTCCGCTGCTCATTCCTGTGTTACCGATTATACCGAATAAACGATATATTTCTTAACTCAGCTTACGACCGCACCCAAGAACCACAAGCTTAAAATTATGGATAATGAACGATGAGTGATTTTTGATGACTAAAATTGGCAAACAGCCAGTCGTTTATTGACATTGGCTAGTAAAAAATATAAAATCAACTACTAAACTAATATGATTACGGATGTTTGTGGACATTGGTAAGTAGTATGTGTTTTAAGTACAACAACACTGTCGTACTCCGACATTTCTCGGTATTTGTTGTACATATGTTAAGTTTTACTTTTATGTATTTAGTTGTACGTGATATATTAATTACTGGTGTGGGGATCACGTTGCGCCTACGCGCCGTGACTCGGTTAACCGTTTCACAAAGATTCAGTTGCTGTTGTGACAATTTTAATCATAATACAAGATTAGTTAGCTCTTGCTAATTGTAAGCTACATATTATGTTAGTATTCATTAACATCTCGAAAAAAGGTCAACGGCTGCCGCTAAGTGAGAAAACGTGCGTTTACGTTTTTAATAATAAAAATGTGAGTGCAAATCCCTGTTTTCGTATATCTCGGAAATGAATGACGTGACATTATCAATTGTGTTTCATAAAACTGTATTGACAAGTTTGTATATAGTTTAATAATTAGTAGTTTTAAGTAAATAAGAAATATACTATATTTCCTTAGGCTGTATGTGTGGTAACTTGATGTTTAATGTAATTTTTTTAGTGTGACGGTGGTGTTGGTGGCTTTTAATGTCAAATGATTTTTGATGACGATGGTGTTTGTGAAGTGACTTGTGGTAACGGAGGTATCGATGGCGTTTAATATGAAATATTTTTGGCGAACTCGTGTTATTTTTTATGAAATATATTTAAACTCGTCGAAAATCTAACAGTTCAATTCTAAAATGTTATAATTACAATTTTGTAGTTGATCGATGATTAAGACATGTTTAATTTTAATGAGTCATGCACTTAGTCGTGTCGTTGGTTATTGCAATATTTAAACGCCCTACTTGGCCAGTGTGTTGAATTTCAACATAACTAATTAAAATTAAACAATATGATCACTTATGGCTATGAAAAGGAAGGAAGGTCATGAAAAGGATGTGAAAATCAGCGTAATCCAACATCCTGAAAATATTGCTTTATCAAATATATGTGTACTTTTAGCTTTAAGGGTATATTAATAAACCCCGTAAACTATAAATTGGGCATTCGAAAGAACTATTTTTGTCTAACTAATACTGCTAGAGATAAAGTTAGATTTTACATTCTATTTTAAGTCCTAGTGGCGAAGTTTTATGGTAACAATTTCAATGAACGGGGAGAGAAATATGTTGCGAGGGCCCGTTTTCTCGTAATTGCAGGCTATATGTGCAGCAGAGTTCATAGCTGTGCCCTTTGATAAATAAAGTGCTCCTACTGAATAAAGTCATAAAGATAAACATTTTATTTTTATTGAAAACCAAATTTGAATACACGTTCGTGACTCCATGACAGAAATGTATACAATGACGTGAAACATGAATAATTATTGGAAACCTGCCTCAACATTACGACATTTCAGCAAAGGGCCACTGACACACATAACCTGTCAATAGGTAGGCACGAAATTCTGTACGTTACGTAAGCCGCGATTATGACCTGCAACACCAGCGATTACTGTTATTGTTGTGGGCGCGAGATGAGATGCGAGGGTGTGTGGACCTTAGGGCGGGCAGCGTGCGAGCTGGGTCGGGCGGGCGGCGCGCTACGTGCGTCGTGCGGAACGCGTGGAGCTCGCGTGCGGCGCGCGTTTGGGACGCGCGCGTCTTTGCCCGGCTCGCCGGAGGCTGCGGCCCGGGCGGGATCGATGCGGGCGGCGGGCGGCGGCGGAGTGCAGCAGCTGGGAGGCTGCGCCGCGCCCCGCTCCGCCCCGCACCGCACCGCACCCCGCCGCGCGCACGCGCCCGCTAGCTCGCGAATCTGCCGCGCCGCCGCGCCGTCGCCGTCGCCGACGACGTTTCAATTCCCTCTTCATCCCGAACTGATTTACGATATGTTCTATCTTATAATGATATTTTTTGTCTAGATCTGTCTCTGCTAGCTTTATGATGATTTTTTTTTCTCTACACACGAGGGGATTTTTTTCGTAAAATATTCAAGATAAGCCTCGCGGTTAAGTTAAGTTCGCAACGACTTAACATCTCCGACAGCTGTCTTGTTTGTCACGCTCAGCAAAAACATTTTCATCACGAGATATACTCGTTTTTCAAGGTATTTTAAAATATTGCCAACGCTACACTGACTCTTGAACTCGACAACCGCGTGGCTTATCAGCTTTAATGAAGGGTCGCTACTTGAGTTTTCCCTTCAACGGACGAAAGCGTCAGTCGGTAGGCTGTCTTGTTAAGGTAGGTTCAGTTTACGTGATATAGGTACATATGTATATTGCACTGTTGATACTTTTTTGGAGTTGGAAATTATGTGATTGTCTTTTTTTAATATAGAAGGTATTACTGTAAAAACAATTCGCTATACTACTCATTTAGTAAAATAATATATAATATAGTAAGATAATTATTGATTATATATATACTAGTAAAATGAAGTCAGTTGAGACGATCATTGTTTGCATTTTGAACTGTCAGCATTTCAATTTAGTAATTTAAAATAGTAAATAAATAAAGCCAATACATTAATTTAAGGTTCTTAACTTTATATTTATTTCTTTATTGACTATCTCTTTCTAGACCGTTCGCTTTCTAGACAGATCAACTAGATTTCAAACAAGGGTACATCTGATTTTCGTAGATTTATTTATGTGGTTAAATTTATACATGTTACTTTGTTTGTGACATATCTTTCTATTTAATTTATTTCAAGCAATTAAGTTCTCGTTTCATCTGCATTTTTTTGTTTTTTATTTTGTTGAGGTATATTTTCTAGTTACTCCTATTGTAACCAGATTAGAAACTAATGATGGGATGTTCTAGAAATCGAGGGGATTCTTCAAATGACGGAAAGCTTAAGTGGCATAGCTATTTTTGTAGTAACTAGTGCATTTTCTATCGCAAGCAAGCACTCTTTGGAGAAATAGGACTAATTATGAAGGCCGCAAATGACCAACGGAGCTACTCGATAATTTATAGTGAAGGTTGGCGATGCAACCACTCTCATATTGTTAGAAAATAATTTATGTTTGTTACAAAGTTAAAGCACTGATCTATTGACATAACTGAATCGTTAAAAGCAATTTTTTGTATAAGGTGAAGAGCACTTGAAATAAAGTTACTGTAACTTAAACAAAAGAGAATGCCTATAACCCGTACTATTTTGCCTGAAAGGTACATTAACACCAAAAATAATGTTTTATTTATCTGTATAATGTACTTATTTAAAACCCACTTTTTAGTCGTATTAAAAAAGTTTAAAGTTTAAAAAAATAATTTCCTATAACTTTTTCGTTCCGTTAAACTTGTTAATTATTTTTGTAAACTGACAATGAGGACAGAAATCTTATTTACCTATTTAGTTTTAGCTTCTGTCTGGGTAAACAACATTATATATAGTAAGAAAGTAATAAAAACGAATTCTATTAAATCATTTTATTTCGTCTCACTCGTGTTTAATGAATAATATTCGGTATTATAGAAACTCAAAACGCTTACAGTCACTGACATTCCATGATTCGGTGTGCCAAAGTTATTTCGAATTATGGAATGTCAATGTCATTGTCAACTTGGTTATGGAGCGTTGTTGATCTTTGTATTGTTTGTATATATCAATGTTTTTGAACCTGCGTTTAAATAGTTCAGGCAATTTTATGGAATAATTAATTTATTATTTTTATTTTATTTTATTTTTTAACTTTTTGCACAAGTACATGCATCGGCAGACTTAATGCCTAAGGCATTCTCTGCCAGTCGACCGATTGGGCGATGCTGAGAAAGAATGAGGTAGGTGCATTTATGATAGGGTATAAACGATAGTGGTTTTGTTAAATACCAACTATCTTGGAATTTGGTGTATACGTCGTAATACCACACACATACACATACATATACATACTCATAAATATATACATACATACACACATATATATACATACACATACACATATATATATGAGAAAAATAAAAAAAATAAAAAATTAAAAAAAAATTAGCCGATGAACTAGGAGCTCGTTGAATCTGCCATTTCGCTCAGCAATAGCTCTTTCACTTTCGTCTTAAAAGAGTACCGATTTGTAGCCATCCTGACTTCGTGAGGAAGCGCATTCCATAAGAGGACAGCCTGGACAAAGAACGAAGAGCCGACAAACCCAGTGGTGTGAGAAGGACAGAGTAGAAGAAGATTGTTGGCCGAACGAAGGTTTCTGTTGTGGTTGTTGCATAACAATTGAAATTGTAAATTGAAATTGAAACAATTGAAATATTACGTCTATAATAACCATTGCAATGATGAGAGAGTGACTCTTCTGTCGTAGCGTAAAGTGACGTTCCTAGCGCCTAAACAGTAGAATATTTAGAAAATACAGTTATACACAAAATCTTCAAATTCAAATGGACAAAATCTTGTTGCTGGTGAATAGTTAAACAAAAACTAGACTCTTAAGAGAAAATTCATTTTGTTGCGTATAAAAATGGGCATTGTCCTTTTACCTGTAATATTAAGAGATTTAGATACCAGTTTCTTACAGTTTATCATGTTGAAAAGCATGCCTAAGCTTTTAAGTATTTTCTGTCTGTATTCTATCTGTTGCTATATACAGGGTTACTGGAAAAGTCGAAGAAGAAGAATACGAACTCGCGTACTATAGATACGCGAACCCGTTTTTATTTTAGTATTTCTTGGCTTAAGGTAGATATATATTTTTTTCGGTTACTGGTTAAGTCGACCTAGATACTTTAAGGGGTTGTAGTTGCCATCATTTCTGATACATTTCACATCATTCATGTAATACCATATGTCAAACCTAACTATTTTCAAGATATTGGATTTTTTTATGAAAATTGGCGAAATTTTACGTAATATTTCTTTTTTAAATTTATATCCTTTATTTTATGTTATGTTTTTTTTCTGTTTTTTTTGTGTAGTTGATACATTGTTTTATCATTTCCATTAATAAAATTGTAGTTAACTTAACCTTAAACTTAAAATACTTGGCTTTTATTTTTGGACTGTTTCGTTTTCCATTTAATACAAACTATTGATTTGTGCTTCTGATACTGTTGATGTTTCTGATTTTGATTTCTTACGGATACTGATAATGCGTATTATACATAGCACGCTATCCCGGCCATCGAGTGCCGGATGTTATTGTGTTAGACGGAGCCTATTGACAACTTAGAGCGACCGGCTCTGTTTTAAGTCGACGATCTGATCTGCCTAGATCACGTTTCACTGATGAAGATGAGGAAGAAGGCAACAACGTTGAATTATCTTATTAGCAATCTAAATCTTTGAATTATCGAGAACCAATGTTCCAACAACTACAACCAACATTGTTGTCGTAGAACTTAGACTCTCACAGTGGAAAGTGTAGGGGCTGTGAATGTATTATGTGTATAAGTATAAGCTGGTACAAGTTATTGAAAAAGGAGATACTTTGAAGAGATTGGAATTCTACAGATTTATGTAGAAAACCCGTAATTTTATTTCTGAGACATTTCATCGGCATGAGTAGTCTAAATTTGATAAAAACGGTGTAACTAATTATTAGAGCATTAATTATTTCACACGAAAAGCACTGACAAATCGTAATATTAAGCGGATAATGGGGCCCAAAGACGTTTCAGTTTCAATGCGTAGATGGGCATTGTCAAACCACTTGTTTTTTTTTTCTCGCCGAGAACACTATGAAAACCTGTTAGGTACAAAAATTAACTAACTTACATGATGATTTACCACTTGATCTCATCTTAAACGCGTCAGGAAGTTTCAACATAGTGGTTGTCCTGCGCATTATAGGATAAGGGAGAAATAATGGCTGGATTCTAATTAGTAATAAGTTGGTCGAGTGGCTCGTGCGGATACGCATTGGCAGTATCCGTAACAAATCATAATATCACCATATGTCTCGTTCGTATGGGTCGTCATCTACAACAGTATCCAACGTACAATCCAAAGTTCGTTTAGCAATAGGTAGCCACGAAAAGAAAAGAAAACAGTCCAAAAATACAAGCCACGTTTTCAACTAGGTACTACCGGGTCGTACGCTAATTCTTAATACTTCCGGTCTTTCATCTAAGTTTTTTTCTATGAATTCTGATACTATCCTAGATTGTTATACCTTGTTAGATAGCTAACAATACTTTTATATTTTTTAAATATCTGCAGTTTAACTGTCATAGGTTTTGTTTAGATATTCGTCAAAATAAAATCTTTAGATTTTTTTTTCCTTTCGCTATTAATAACCATCTACTTCTTCCCAGTCGGTTAAGTTAACTACAATTTTATTAATGGAAATAAAGGATACTAAGTTATTTAAAAAAAATAGGCAATAATTCGGCAATTTTTATAAAAAATCTTACAAGTCCGATATCTTGAAAATGGTTAGGTTTGGGATATAGTATTTCATAGTAAAATCTATCAGAAATGATGGCAACTACCACCCCTTAATGTTTTAAGGTCGACTTACCCAGTAACCCTGTATATATACCTACCTTAAGCCAATAAATAATAAAATAAAAACGGGTTCGTGTATCTATAGTACGCGAGTTCGTATTCTTTAATCCATTTTCAATCCACTTTTTGGAAAACGGGACGAGACGGGACCTTTAATATAGCTCCTTCGCCCGATCCGTTCTCCTACTTCCAATTAAGTTTCTACCTTTCTTAAGCTTTGACCTGTCTGTGTATTTCATACATAGTAGGTTATGCGTCATGCAGGATGCTGGCCGTAAAATGAACTCTAGAAAATCCCGTGCGATGTGACATACATACACAATGTGCCCTACCCCAAAATTGAGAAAAAAGACGAGACGTCAAATCTAGTATAAAGAGATGCGTGCAGAGATTTCTAGATACATGAATATAAAGATATAATTAAATTTAAATTAAAAGGGAACTGTTATACAAGAAACGTTA